TCTGCCTAGACCCCACCAATCGAAATTCCTTGACCAGTGGGGTCTGCAACCTGCCCCTTCTACTGGACCGAGTGGGGCGGGCTGAAATGTACTCTGTGTGAGGTGGCTGACTGCTCCAGACTGCAGAAGCAGGTACACCAGCACTTTATGCGACACAGCAAAGTAAACATGTCTGTTTTAGAACATCTATGCCTAGTATAGGCCATTATGAAGACACAAGAGGTGCTTCATTTCAATCCAGATTTCACTGATAGGACTCCTGGAATCAGCACCCTACTTTGGAGCCACTTGACTGGGTCAAACTGGCCACCTCACTGGCCTTTCTTTTCTCTGTGTGCATGTGCTGAAAACATTTCCACAAAGCAGCCACTTTAACCCTTTTGGCTGAGGGCATCAAGGCAGAGCACCCCTCTTTTCCACACAAAGGCAGCTCGGAGAAGCAGTGTCACTGCGCACAATTCACTGGATACCAACAGGTATCAGTACTGGAATCCTCACATATAATCCAATCAACCTTGGTACAGATTTAAAAATCAGCATATAGGCAATTGTAATGATTTAGTTTTTAAAATCACAGCATATGTATTGCTTTGAGTCAAAATAAAGAAGGGCATTTGGAGAAGGCTCCTGACATTTTTTCACTCAATTCTACCTTTCCAAGAAAGAGCATGAAGTCTCCCACTGTGTTTATCGCAGCCACTCGCAACGCATTCTCCACCAGTATCACAAAGGCATCCTTTGCGGAGGTGCAGAAACTGGTACTGTTGATAGCTGTGGCTGTATATGCATTCTGGGCAAGAAAGACACCGTTGTATTGGTTAGATCCTCTTCTACTCAAATTTTAAGCTCTTCCTATCTAAGATCTTCACATTAGAGTTAGTTTTGACAAATATCTCTCACCACTGAGTCTTTATCACAACAGAGAAGATTTCTATGAATCTGATCAATGGCCCAAATTAGGTTTTAGCAAGATACGAACAGCCAAGGTGATGCAATTCCAATATCCCCTCTGTTCTTCCTCTGTTCCTCTGTTCTTCCTGCAATGTCTTACCATGTTACTCAGGTTGCCAACTGTACTTATCATTAACTACGTCAGCATAAACAAGTCTGTTTCAGAAACCATGACTGTGGTTGAATGACTGTGCAAGTGGCAGCAAGAGATACAAGCAGATAGCAGGGACATAAATCTGGGATGTGGCTAAACTCATTTATATCTGGATAAACCATAAATTAGTGTAATGCCCGTACTAATTCTCTTTGGGACTGACCCAAAAGGATTTTTTTTTTTTGGTTAACAAAATCTTGCACATGTTTGATTAGTATCTGCAAAATGATTTAAGAAACAACAACAACTGTATTACAGCTGTACACTAGGAAGGGAGGGAGGGAGGGAAGGATATTAATAATTTTAAAGTACTGAAGCACAGGAGCATATAGTCCAATTTTTTCATACGGGTTTGAACTTTATTTTTCTATTTAAGAATTTATTTTTGAAAAAAAACAGGACAAATAGGCTGAATAGACCTGAGTGACAATTATATAACAAAATAATTACACAAGCATTTGCATAAAACTTGCAAACACAATGGGATTAGAGCAAAAAAAAAAAAAATTACAATATAGCAGTCAAAGGATATCTTTGGGTTTTCTTATAGTTAATTCCACTGTAATTCAATGAAGGCGTCCTTTAAGGATATGAGAGATTATAATTCTTTCCTTTCAAAATTGATATCTAAACATGAAAAAAAATGTTTTTACTTTTTGTGTAACAAGTTCATTCTGTGATCAACCCATTCAATCTCACACCTTTGTTCTTATTTTCTTCCAAGGAACCTCTTGCATTTTAATTTCAGCAAAGGCACTATTGACCACCAAAGGATAATTATTTCATCCTCTGCTTTAAATATAAATGTAAGAGATCTTACCTGATTTAAGTAAGTCAGGCACTTTTCTAGACACCAAAGGCAGCAAATGCAGGATTTCAGAATACATCGAGCACAGACATTTTCCTAAGGTAATAATAATAATGATGATTAGCGGGCGGGGGGGGGAGAAGAAATTGCATTGTGATAGAGCACAGAATGCTTTTTAGATGAGGTTTCAAATATAGGATTCGTTTTATATAAATGCTTTCTTGTAGACACTTCAAGACCTAATTTTCATTTAATGATTCTTACAGTTATGTTACATAAAGCCAAATCACATATGCAAAACAGCTGCTTTTTCTTTCCATGCAAACTCAATCTGTTTATAGACTTATAGGGAGAAATCTCTGGGTGAACCTGGCTATACGTGGGGACTACTGGCACTTACTACAATTCCCATTCTTGCAATGATGATAAAAGTTATGGCTGCTAACCACAGAAATGGTTGTAGCTTACTTAATACCAGGTTAGGTCTTAAGGATCTACTCGGCATACTGTTCAGAATTTATGTCCAAATATCTTTCACAATTTATAAATAGAATTGCTGTACAGGTGATCTTCTTCCTCCCACTGCTGACAAGGCGTGCCCCGTCTGCGAAGGGCCAGGCCAAGCGTGCCTTGTCAGCAGTGGGAGGAAGATGGCGAAAGTCAGCTGGGTGTGGCAGGGCTGGCAGAGTGCAGGGCAGCCAAAAGGGCAGAGATGTGGGGGGGAGATAGGCAGGTTGGGGAGTTGAAGTGGAGGTGAGCGCGGCAGGGCAGAAGAAGCATGAGGTCCTAGCCTTATGACCACAACCAGTATTACCGAAACTGCTGTCGCTAAGCAGTGCAGTCATGTAACGGCATGAGAATGCTGAACTGACTGCATGGGTCTCTGTTCTGATCTGCCAGAGCATTTTTCATGGCTCTTTTTTTGCCCCCCGCCCCCGATAGTTTCATCATTTCTGGTTATATAGCAAACTTAGTTTTCTCTTACTTTTCCTTTGACTTGGGTATGAATATACATGAGAATCATTCTTGGAATCTTCACTAAGGTAATAATGAAAGACCCTTTAGCCACAGTTCCAAGGTGGTAACAGATCAAGCGATTGACAGATGCCAGAATTGGTGTGAATGGCAGATTTCGTTTTTCTCTGTGGGGAAAAGCGCAAAAATTACAAAGTGTGACAGTATACTGCATTTATAGGCAAATGTAGATGGCAATGACATTACTAAGGTGGCATCTTAACTTGTGAAGAGCTCCAGGACTAAATTTTGCAGGGCCCTAAATCTGTAAATGTAATCTTTGTCAGGGGTGAAGAGATATTGGTTCAATTCTTTTCTTACAACCAAAATGGCATATAAAGTAGTAAGAAAAATAATTACATCACTCAAGTACAGTGGTGAAAGTGAGTAGTCTTGACCTCTGCTTGGGAATAAGCAGTGGCTTGGGCCAGCAAAATGACTGCAAATGTTTGACAACAAATTACGCAGTGGTGTTTGATCTGAGAAGCAGAAAGCACTGAAATGATTGGATTGATCACTTCAGCAAAGAAGACAGAAAAATCACACTGATTACAAATAAATGTATCAACTGCATAGTTTAATTTATGAAACGTATATGTGATTTTATATTTGAACTGACTTACAGTAAGGATTTTACATCTTTCCCTGGGCCAGATTCAAAAAAACCTTTGGAAAAGCTCCACAGAGAAGTGAAGAACTTCTTGGGGTGGGCTTTCATCATACCTGACTGGATGAAAGTTCATGGTGAACTTCCATCTCTTTGAGATCTAACTACCTTTCCATTTATTTAATTGCTCTCAGTTTAAGTGATTCTGGGAGTCATATGGGTCTGCTTAGAAAAAGAGGATCAGAAAAGCATTCATATCAAGAGCTTCACTTTCCAGAGGACAAACAGACATTTGACAGCTGTCAAGATTGCCAGTCAGAATACCCCAAGTGTAGAAATCTATTAGTCTGCCCAGTAGGGACCATTTCAATCTGTCTCTTATCCATGCAGGGAATAAACTACAAATAATCTAAGCCTCACAAAAAAGTGAGGCTTCTGAATCACTGACAGATTCAGCTACTGATCAGAAGATGGGGAATAAATGTCAAACCTCCTGCCTTCAAGGCTATATTCCTGCAGAGTGGGAAAACTAAATCTTATATCCTCCTTATACACGTGTTGAGCCAATTATATCCTAGGGATTCCTCCAGTGACATGCATTAGATCAATTACATTTGGATCAATTACATTTTTCATTGTCATGGGAGTCATGAGGCCCCAGACATGGAGGTAGGGCCTTCAACATCAAGCCCAAGATAACTTCCATTAGCTTGAGGAAGGAAGACACTGAATAGCAGCTGGTCCAAACTGTCAAGATACAAGAACCTTAGATTGTTACGAACTAGAAGCTGGGGTTTGGAGTGGAACCATTCAGATGACAGCAGCTCCTGCTAATGATCCTCCAATTATGGAAACATTGCACAAAATAGCTACATACAAAATCCTCAAATAGGAACACTCCTGATCAAAACAATTTTGGGGTAAGGATTTTCTGTACTTACCTAATGCACCAATACAGCTACAATCCTATAGATACTTCTTGAAGAATTAGCTCCTCAGAATTATTTATGAGCAGAGTGTGATACATTCACTCTTTATTTACTATAAAGGCCGTAGGAAACAAAGCATCACTCCAGAGCTCCTCTCCCCTCCCCCCGTTCAAAATTAGCTGAAGTAAAGTGAGAATTTCCCTTTCTTCCATTCTATCATTTCACTTCATTATAACACTAGTCCATCCCCAGTTACTTTTGAAATTTCAGAAGTTGGATTACTCATGATTAGACTGCCCAAATTCACTCACCTTGTAAAATAATATGTCACAACAGCTCCTGCTACAGTCATCTGCTGACAGGCAAGAATAAATTCACTAATCCAAACTAATCCCACGATGTGATACCACCACATGTATTTCAGTGGGCCTGCAACTCGGAACTCTACCAAGCCCTGTTCATTTTGAACAGGGCTACCTGGAAGGAAAGGAAGGCAGGAAGGTCTTAAAATATTAAGTCTATGAGATAGCTGCCCTTTTAATATTTGCATAAAAGTACCCCATGCAAGAGTCACAGTTATTCTTGTTCTGGGCATTTTTATAAGCAAATAAAATAATCATATACAAGCTGCCTTTCAAAACACCAGTGTGGTAAAAACATTTCAGTAAAATAGTACAAAAAATTAAAAAGAAGCTAACAGGTTAGAATAATAGAATCACAGGGTTGGATGGAACCTTGGAGGTCTTCTAAGCCAACCTGCTGCCTAGTACAGAAATCCTCATACCACCCTGGACAAATGGCTGTCCAATCTTTTCTTGAAAACTTCCACTGATAGGGCACTCATGACTTCAGGAGGCAGGCTTTTCCATTGCTTGATAGCTCTCACAGACAGGAAATTCCTCCTTATTTTAAGCTGTAGAACTTCCACCCATTGGTTCTTGTCTTACCTTTGGTTACTCTGGAGAATAAATCCACCCTCTCTGCCCTATGACATCTACCCTCTCTGCCCTGTGACATTTAAGTATTGGAAGACTATTATGTCTTCCCTCAGTCTTCTCTCTAGATAAACACACCAAGTTCCTTTAACTGCCCTTCATACGATGTAACCTCCAAGCTCCTCACCATCTTTGTCGCTCTTCTCTGCACTTTTTCCAGTTCCTCAGTGTCCTTTTTGTAATGGGTTGACCAAAACTAGACACAGTATTCTAGGTGTGTTCTGACCAGTGCAGCACAATGCGGTACTATCACTTCCCGTGACCTTGAGATTATACTTCTGTGGATGCAGCCCAAAACTGCATTAGCTCTTTTGGCAGCTGCAGCACATTGCTGGCTCATGCTTAATCTGGTCTACCAAAATGCCCAGATCCTTTTTGCTAGTGCTGCTGCTAAGCCAGACACTGCCTATCTTGTACCTGTGCTTCTGGTTTTTCCTGTCTCAGTGTAGAACCTTATATTTCTCACTACTGAAAGTAGTTAAAAACTACCTGGAAGTAAAGAGTTTGGGGAAGGTTGCTGAGAAGGTCTTTGGATTACAGAGGGCCTTGAAGGAAAATGATTATCTAGACCCCTTTCCATCAGGTTTTTGGTCAGGGCCTAGTGCAGAGATGGCATTGATCACATTAATGGATGACCTGTGGCAGAGATAAGGATGGGGGAGATACATCAATTCTGGTTCCTCTTGATTTCTCAGTGGCTTTCAATATCATAAATCATATCTTTCTGAACTAACTGTAGGAAGTAGGAGCTAAATTTTATGGTGGTTCTCCTTTTTCTGTGGTTGGTTCCAGTTGGTGTTGGTAGGGGGAGAGAGGTTGAACCCAATGCTCCTGATCTACAGGGTGCCCTAGTGCTCAACACTTTCACCCCTTCTGTTTAACATCTACATGAATTGGAGCAGGTCATCCATTGGTTTGGAGTCAGGTATCATCAGTATGCTGATTATATTCAGTTACAGTGGGGCAAAAAAGTATTTAGTCAGCCACCAACTGTGCAAGTTCTCCCACTTAAAAAGATGAGA